TGCAGTGGCCAGTATAAACTGTAGTCTTGGCTCCCTCCAAGTAACACCTCCATGCCTTGAAGGCTATGACTATCGCTAAGGCTTCCTTGTCATGGATGGGGTAGTTCAGTTCTGCTCCGTGTAGCTTCTTACTGAGGTAAGCGATGGGCAGCAAACCGCGTCTGTGATCCTGCATCAGTTTTGCTACGACTGCCTGGTTACTAGTGTCTGCTTCCACCATGTAGTCCTTGTCTGAGTCCGATAAGATGAGTACTGGCGCTGTAGTCAATGCTGTCTGTAGCTGCTCCATGGCTTGCTGATGAGGAGTAACCCATTTGTAGGGCGTATAATTTTTCAGCAGGTCGGTCAGTGGTGCTGCTATCTTAACGTACTGCGGCACGAACCTGTTGTAGTAGTTGGCAAAGCCTACGAACTTTTGCAACTCCTTTACATTCTTCGGTACTTTCCACTTCTTGACGGCTTTGATCTTCCGCGGGTCCACGTATACGCCCTCGGCACTCACCATGTGCCCGAGAAAATGCACCTTCTTGAGGGCGAAGCCGCTCTTCGATAGCTTCACATTGAACTTGTTTTTCTGTAGGATCTCGAACACCTTCCGCCGATGCTCCACGCGCTCCTTTATGTTCTAGGAGTAGATTAGAATGTCGTACAGGTACACCACAACGCATTCGTCCAATAGGGGCCGTAGGATGTGATTCATCTCCGCCTGAAACGTTGCTGGTGCGTTGCAGTGTTCGAACGGCATCACCAAGTATTCGTAGGAGCGTATCTGGTACGGAACACCGTCTTGTGGACCGAGATGTCCGCCATCTTGATCTGCCAGTAACCCGACCGTAGGTCCAGCTTCGAAAATACTGTTGCACTACGCAGTTGGTCCAGTAGGTCGTCTATGCGCGGTATGGGATATTTGTTTTTTACTGTCTGTTTGTTCAGTGCGTGGTAGTCGATGCACATCCGTAAACTGCCGTCTGGTTTTGGAGTGAAGAGAACCGTTGCACCGTAGGGAGAGGTGGATGGGCAGATCAGTTGTCTGTCCAGTGGATATTCTATCTGCTTTTTCATGTGTGTCAATTCGGTTGGACTCAGTCGGTATGGTGCACGTGAGACGGGTTTTGCACCTGGTTCCTCCACAATCTCGTGCTCGTGGGTGCGTGCTGGAGGTACGCCTGCAGGTAGGTCGTCGGGCATAATATCCTTGTACTGCTCCAAGACCTCCTTCACTGCTGCAGGTAGCTCTGTGTTTGGCTTCTCCTCCTCTTCTGCTGCCATTACTAGTGCTAGGTATCTCGTGTTACTCTCGTTCACCGTCTGTTCAAACCGTGCTGGTGTTTTTTCAGGAACGCTACTTGTATCCGTCAAGCTTCGCAGCTCCACTCGTTTCCCGTTGTTGTAGATGCACGCCTTCCTATTGACCTAGTCGATCTCGGGGTTGAACCGCTTCAACAAATCTCGCCCCAAGATGATATCTAAACCCTTGATGTTCGTGATCGGAAACGTGGGCTTCCACCTCAGCGCCCCTATGTGCAGCTGCAGTGATGCTTTGCCGTGGATGGGAAGTTTCGTACCGTCCACCATTGTTGCCGTGAACTTGGTCTCCTCCGAAGGTTCTCCAATTTTCTCCAATGTTCCGCGGTCACACACCGAGTCAGATGCATCGCTGTCCACCAGTGCCTGGAGGCGTCGTCGTTTGCATAACACCTCAAGGAGTAGTGGTTCATGCTGCGCTGAGTAGCCAAAGAGGGTCTCATTAATATGATCATAGGGTATATCAAAATGAATACCATCCCTATTCCCTATACCTGACTCAGCACTTTCCAACTTCACCTGGGGGTTAGGAGGATTTTTCCGAGGCTTGAACAACTTCTCCTGAGCTTGGAATTTCCCTCTAAGTCTTTGCAGCTGTGTAGCTTCACATGTGGGCAACGGGGAGCCTTAACAGTGTGATGCTGGGAGAGAATATTTACTCCACGGAACGTACGACCCTTTTCTACGCTCCGCAATGCTTTGCCCAACTTCTCAGGTACCTGAATAATGTCTAAAGGTTTTTTCTTGGCCTCTAACTCTCCCCTGAATTTCTCAAAGGCTTGGAAACCACGAGAAGTAATTTTCTTTGTTAAAGTATCTTTGTAGGATAACTTTAACGAATTCTTGCTTTCGTGGGTGTTCGGTTGGAGTTTCCCGGTCGGTGCAGAGTCTTTTTTCACGGAGCCTCCATTCGCCTCGGCGATTTCCCCTGATGCCGGCCGATCATGACGTTTTATATTCGCGCCATCATTTTCTCCTTTTTTTGCCCGCTCCGAAGTCGCCACGTCGTCGCCTTTTTTCTCTTTTCGGATCTTTACGCGATCGCTTGGTCGATCGCGGGTACTGACGATCCCCGTTTTCTTTTACTTCGAGGGTGCTATACTGTTGCCGCCAGCAGTGCCGCACGTGCTTTTTTCATTTTGTAGCACGACAAGATTTGATGTCCGACTGCGCTGCAAAATTCGCATTTTGTCGGCTGCTGCTTCGCTTCAAATTTGTCAATTTCCATCGGTTCAGCGAACGTGAGGGGTGCCGATCGCTCCATGACGAATGTACGGTTCGGCCCATAGCGTCATGTTTCGGGTTGACCACGCGTCAATGCGTCGTAACATTCGGCTGCACGTACGAGGTCGCGGTAGTTACTGTAGTTCGCTGCGATGACCTGCCGGCAAATCTCCATTTTTAACCCTTCTGTATACGCCTGGATTTTTTCGCCCTCGGTCAGGTCGATGATGCGGCTAAAAACCTGCTCCATCTGTTGCGTGTACTGTGCTACGCTCCCGTACTGCTTATGTCGGTGTATCTGCTGCCGCGCCATGTACGTCGATTTAATTGGCTCAAAACGTTCGATGAGGTCTGCCCGAAACTGTGCCCACGTTTTCTCCCCGCGGGCCACGTCACTGTAGTAAATCCACTCGAGTGCTGCTCCCCGCAACAGTGTCGCTGCGAGTTGAATCCTTGCTGCATCATGTGTCGGGGTCGAACAGCCAATGGCCTCGAAGTAAATTTCGAGTGTCGCCAGAAATCGTCAAACGTCTGATCCCTTCGCGCTTGGATCGAACTCTTCGGGGAGCCTCGTGCGAGCTGCTTTGAGGTTCGGCGAGGGTGGCACCACTGGTCCGTGAATTGTCGGTGTCGCCGCTGCTATGTTCACTGCTGCATCGACTGCTTCTGTGGTGACTACCGATTGGTTTGTCAGGAGGGCTTCAATTCGCCTGATCGCCGTACTGGTGCATCTATTCCACATCGGTGCGAAGGCTGGCGATGTCGTGGGTGGTCGCGTAGTTGTCGCCTTAACCCTCCATCCCTGACATTGCGCGTCCGAAAACCGAAAACGAGGGGGAGTGAAAAACACGGAACCGGTGTACCCGAAATAGGTGTTTAACAGTCGTTGCCCTTGCGTTGTTTTGAAGACTCGGTTTTAGTGGTCGAAAAAACTTTGCGTGTAAACGGCTCTGATTACCAAGTGTGAGGATCTAGGATCGAGCTCAGAAAAGTGGGTTTGAATTGAATGATCCACCTGGGTACAACACGAGGCTATATATAGTCTCGACACAAGGTCTAGTAACCAGGTTACGAAGCGTCCAGAATGGAGCCTTACCGAATTCGGTAGAAGGCAATTCGGTGGCAACCAAAAAGCCTGGAATTCGGTGCATGCAACCTAGCTCGTTGCTAGAACTATGATAAAATATAGGAAAGCACCTAGCCTAGGAAATCAAACAAAAGCATGCATGCAAATACAAACCCTAAGCTAGAAATAACACAATAAAGTAAAGGCAACCTGGCATAAGCCGTCGTACTCTCACAACCTACGTAGGTTATCTGGTTGATATAACGACGCTGAAAATCTGATTCGCACCTTCGATATTGCGGACGATGTGTTCTGCGACTATCGCCGAATTCACAGCTTCCTCGGGCATGGTCAAAAGGACACACGAGTGACTTTTCATGCATGCATGGTTTGTGCCGAAAGCTCGACCCAGGTTTAGTGTCCTACTTCTTCCACAAAGTTTGTACTAGGACACATGATTCTCTGGCGAAAAGATTGACGAGATTGCGAACGGGGTTACCATGAAGAATTCAACCAATATTCCGAACCTCTACAGCAAAAGACACGCGCCCTAAGTATTCGCTCATACTTTGTACTCGTTTGACAACCTCGTGCAATCATCGCTATTTCGTTCCATTGCATCCGTAACACGTGTTCAAGTTCGACAACACCTAAACGCGTGAGTTCGCCGAAAACCCACTCCAAAGAATTTTCGAATTAAAATTCCCAACTGCAGCGCGCCCTAACACAGACCCAATCATATAGACGACGAAATAACGGACCGCCCTGCTTTTTAGTTTCGGATTCCTTTGGACAGTGGTTTTGACACCGTCTGGGCTTAGCCCCCGCGTTTAATTCCTTCGGGTTTTCGGCATTTTCAACAACCCTGTGGCCAGGGCAATTATGAACTTACCTGGTTAGTTGCCAGTGGGAAAAATAACCCCTATCGGATGGCAAGCCATTTGGGAGGCATCAACCCTTGCCTCATGGTGTTTAGGGTTGATGCCTCCCAAATGGCTTGTCATTCGAGAGGGGAATATATTTTTGGTCCCGACCTGCTCGTTATGGGCGCGAAGTTTTAAATTTGGATATCCTTTAAAACAACTAACAATATTAGAATCTGGACTAAAAAGGGGAAACAACAAAATTACCTGCCCGAAGGAATCGGACGCGAGCGCAAAACGTGGCGGTGTCAAAACCACTGCCAAAAGGAATCGGAAACTAGAAAGCAGGGCGGTCTGTCATTTCCTCCGTATAGTCCCCCAGGTGGCGACTTCTCTTCTAACCACCAACACTTACTCATGTCCGACCGCCGAACGCACGGCATTCATCGACATTCATAACCATGGGAACGGACCTCTCCGGGCTGGAGCTTCACCCCGGACTGGATTCCAACATTCCACCTTTTTCCGATGCGGGAGAAGGAATGCAGACTGCGGCAACAAATTCGAGTGATGTTATCGAAGGCAGCGAAACAGCAGCAGGATGGGTGGGTCTAACTCAGGAAGGCTCATCTGCGGGTTCAGCAGCAGCGGCGGAGGGGAAGCAGCGAGCTATAGGCACGGTCCCAACCGCTCTTTCCAACCAGCCGCTCCCCCCACGCTTCCCGCCTCAGGCGCCGTCCGTTATGGAAGAGGTAATCCGCGCATGGGGCGCCGTGAGAACCGCCGCAGCAGGCGCCGCAGCTGCCGCTACAAGCGCGGTCATCCGCGCTCCCGCCACTGCTGCCGCTGCTCCTCCGCGGATCCCGCCTTCCGCAGCGCCTTCGCTCTCCGCCATGGCGCCGCCCGACGTGCCTCCCGCGCTGATCGCGGTGATTGAAAAGGCTCTGCAGGAGGTGGCGAGGGGTGCGAAGGGAGAAGGGAGGGACGGAGGGACGGAGAGGCAGAGGGGGGGAAAAGGGGTGTTGCAGCTGCAGCGACTGGTGGCCGGGATGTGCCGATTGGAGGGGATTCGCGCGGTGGGGGGGGGAGACGCAGAGGCGCGGAGTGCAGGCGGAAAGGACGAGGCGGAGACAAACGAGAGTGAGGGAGTGGGGAAGGGCGCGGAGGGAGGGAGTGATGCAGGTGCAGTGGGGGCGGAGGAACGAGACGCAGCTGCTGCGGTGGTGGTGGCAACCCTTCTAGCCATCATGGGGTGCACGCACGAGGGGGACGACGTGCAGGAGGCGGACGGCAGTGGCGAGAGCAGGGGCGCGGAGCGGCGGAGGAATGGCAAGGTGCCTGGGCCTGTCATCATGATGTGTGCCGAGGCCGCTGTGCTGGCCGCCGCGCTGCTGCCGTGGCTGCCATGCCATGACTGCCGCCCGCCTGGGGTCACCGCCAGTGGAACAGTGAGTGATGCAGCAGCGAGGGAAGCAGCAGCAGAGAGAGGAGATGGCGAGGAGAGTGCCAAGACAGAGGCAGGCGCAGCGGCAGGGGCAGCTGGATCGGGAACAGGTGCAAGGTGGGCGGCAGGGGCAGTGGTGGCAAGTGGGAGGTCCCCGCGCACGCGCGTGGCACGAGTGCTGGCCACGGCGCTCTCCTCCTGCACGCGCAACCGTGCCATGTGCGCTGCCGCTCGCCTCACCTCCTCCCTCCTCGCCTCCCTCCGCATCATCCTCCTGGGCGGCGTGCGGGCCAATGGGTCGCTGCCACCTGGTGCTGCCCTGCTGGATGAAGCACCGTTGCCGGTGGAGCCGAATGAGAGCAGCGCAAGGGAGGGTGCGGGCGAGGGTGGTGCTGCGCTGTATGGTGCAGCTGAGGCTGCGTGGGATGCTCGGCCTGTGCTGGCGGCGCTGCAGTCTCTGGCGTCTCACTCCGTGTCCGTGGGCGAGCTGCGCCAGTGGATGGCGTCCGTTGTTGCTCTCACCGCCTCTCCCCCCGCTGCCAGCACCCCACCTGCCTCCATGGCATCAACAGGAACAGGGGCAGCCGGGATGGCAGGGGGAGGAGGAGGCGGAGAGAAGGGGGTAAGAGGCGGAGCAGGGGGAGGGGAGTGGGTGAGGCAAGAGAGGGCGGGTGCGCTGCTGGATGCGCTGCAGGGGGCGATGGAGGGGGAGGAGGTGAGGGCGCCCGCATACACCTTCGAGCTGGACGGCGAGAGCTCAGGGCTGCTGGGGCCCGGCGACAGCAAGTGGCCGTTCGGCAACGGGTATGCGTTTGCGACGTGGATCTACGTGGAGTCCTTCTACGACACCGAGAGCTCCGCTGTGGGCGCCGCTGCCATGGCCGCCGCCATCGCTGCCGCCGCCACCGCCAAGGTCGGCCGCACCTCTGCGGTCTCCGCTGCTGCAGCCGCGAGCGCACTGGCAGGGGAGGGGCTGATGCACATGCCGCGGCTGTACAGCTTCCTGACGGCAGAGAGCGAGGGCGTGGAGGCGTACTTCCACCGCGAGTACCTCATTGTCGAGTCCTCCACGCACCGCGGCTCCAAGAGCACCTTCCACTTCTCGCACGCGTTTGAGGCGCAGCGCTGGTACTTCATAGGGCTGGAGCACGTGTTCAAGCCGTCGCTGCTGGGCAAGGCGGAGTGCCACATGCGGCTGTACGTGGACGGGCGCCTCACAGAGTCCCTCCCGCTCGACCTCCCGCGCATCTCCCGCCCGCTCGGCTTCCTGTGCATCGGCACCAACCCGCCCGCCGCCATGGCGGGGCTGCAGCGGCGGCGCAAGCAGTGCCCGCTGTTTGCGGAGGTGGGGCCCGTGTACATCTTCAAGGAGCCCATCGGCGCCGAGCGCATGATGCGCCTCGCCGCGCGCGGCGGGGACCACCTGCCGTGCTTTGGCGCGGGGGCGGGCGTGCCGGCGCTGGTGAGCAGCGACCAGCTCATGCTGGCAGCCGATGATGCATACAGCCTCGACTCCGACCTCGCCCCCCGCCTGCACCTGCTCTACCACCCGCGCCTCCTGCTTGGCCGATTCTGTCCGGACGCCTCCCCTGCCAGTGCTGCCGGGGTGCACAGGCGGCCGGCTGAAGTGCTGGGGCATGTGCATGTGGCGGCCAGGCACCGAGTGCCGGAGGCCATCTGGCAGGCGGGGCAGGGGGGGCCGCTGGCGCTGCTCACTCTCGCCATTCACGCCGTGCACCCGGACTCGTTCCTCCCGCTGCCGCTGGCTCTCTCTGCGGATCCGCCTGCTGCAGTGGCTGCAGCGACGCTGCTGCCGCGTGTGCTGGGGCTGGTGGGGCGGGCGATGCGGCACGGCATGAACAGGGAGGAGATCAGGGGAGGGGCTCCCGCCATGCTGGCGCTCATGCTCGCATATGGGCTCAGTACGTGCGCCCAAGGGGGGGTGGCGGGTGGTGCTGGGGCGGGGGGTGGTAACAGTGCGGACAAGGAGGTGAGTGAGCAGCAGGGTGCAGCGGTGGCGGTGCGTGGCACGGATGAGGATGACCCGCCGTACGACAACCAGCTGGCGGCGGCAGCTGCAGCACTCACCATGGCACCACGCTTCGGTGACCCGTTAAAGCCGCACCTCTTCCTGCACCTGCTGCTGCACCTGCCTCTGTGGGCGTCGTGCCCCCTGGCTGTGCAGCAGCAGGTGCTGTCGTCGCTGGCCGCCGTTGCAGTGCGCGAGCAGCACACGCTGAGAGCAGCAGGCGCGCTGCCCGTGCTGCTGGATGGGTGCCGGCGCTGCTACTGGGTGCAGCTGGAAGCCATGTCCCTGCCCCTCGGCCCCGCCTCCTCTCGCTCTGCCACTCCGTCGTCAATGAAGAGCCCGGGGGCACAAGAGACTGGTGGAGGAGGAGAGGAGGAGGGGGAGGTGGTGGCGGGGCAGCATGCGCGGATGGGCGAGGTGAACGCGCTGGTGGATGCCGTGATGGGCGTGCTGGAGCTGCTGCTCGCCACCAGCTCTGCCCCCGCCATGGCGGCTGACATGCGCACACTCGTTGCCTTCCTGCTCGACTGCCCACACCCCAACCAGGTCAAACCTCAACTCTCAACCCTGAACCTCAAACCTCAACTCTCAACCCTGAACCTCAAACCTCAACTCTCAACCCTGAACCTCAAACCTCAACTCTCAACCCTCAACCTCAAACCTCAACTCTCAACCCTCAACCTCAAACCTCAACTCTCAACCCTCAACCTCTCAAACCGGAAGCCTACTCTTGCGATGCCATGCCCTGTGTCCCTGTGCTCTCACAACACACTGCCCTTCCGTCCACTCCGTTTGCATGCCATCATGCCTCACTCACTTACCGCCTCGTGTCCTCTTCCTCTTTCTTCTTAGCGTTTGTGTCCCTGCTTCCTCTCCCCCTGATGCGCTCTGGCAGATGGTGCGAGTGCTGCTGCTGGTGTACCGCCTCCTATCCCACCCCAACGCCGCGAGAGCAGCTGGCTTCTCCGTGCAGTTCCTGGCAGCGGGCGGCGCCCACATGCTGCTGGCGCTGCTGCTAAGGGAGAGCCAGTGGGGCGACGCGTGTCCCCTGCTCTTCCCCCCCGTGCCTTGTAAGGCCCAGGCGGCCCGTGTGAAGGAGGTGGTGGGGGAAGAGAAGGGCGATGGTGGGGTGACGGTTGGAGGAGTGAAGGGTAAGGATGGAGGTGTGGCGGAGGACGCGGCCAGCAGTAGTGTGGAGGGCAGTGCAGGCACCGGGGGCGACGGTGCTGATAGTGCTGCTGTGGAGGGTGGAGATTCCACAGACAAGGAAGGTGCTCGATCAGCCGCAGAAGCAGCAGGCATGGCAGCAAGCACAACAACTGAAGCAGAAGCAGCAGATGCGAGTGGGTGTGGGGGAAAAGGGCCGAGTGCAGAGCTGAAGGTGGACGTGCCACGAGGCAGCAGCAACAGCACCACTTCTCAGGCGCTCTCCCCCAAAGCACCCACCCCGAACCCCGCCACCCCCGCCGCCTCCACCCCCGCCTCCTGGCAAGCCTTCTTCGACCCCTTTGGCACCCGGGCCGACCCCCCAGAGGCAGAAGCGAAAGCAGCGGATCGGCAGACAGCAGCTGCTGGCAGCAGCGGCGAGGAGGGGGCGAAGGAGACACGAGCAGGGGGGACGGACTTGGAGGCAGCAGAGGAGGCGAAGGAGGAGAGGGAGGAGCGGATCCCTGAGCCGCGAACGGGGGTGGACGTGGCTGGTGAGATCCTGAGGAAGCTTCAGCAGCGAGGGCTGTTCCAAGCGTCGCACATGAGCATTCTCGCCCCGGGACCCGCCGGGAACAGCGTCACAGTGGCCCCCTCTGTGCGCATCCGGCAGCCCTTGGGCAGCAGCAGAGCAGCAGGCGCCAAGGGCTCTCACGGGCTCTCAGGGGATGTGATGGTGGCAGCAGCCGCGCTCTCCCTCTCTGGCAGTGGCACGCGCAGTGGCAGTGGGCGCCGCCTCGCCTCCTCCGCTTACGGCGAGCAGTCCTTGCTCGCACCGAAGTCAAACGACTTCCCCCTCACGGACGGCCCAGATGGGATCTTCCTCGCAGTGGTGTCGATCCTAGGGCTGTTAGCGGAGGGAGGGTACATTCGGCTCAGCAGCCCGGCTGTGCTGGGGCTGGTGCCGGGGGGGGCGGGAGCAGGGCTGGGGTCGGTAGTGGCGGATAGAGGGGTGGGGGAGCGCAATAACGTGGGGGCGTGGGCGGTGTACGGCGTGCAGAGGGCGCTGCAGCTGGCGCCTGACAGGCTGCTCACGCCTGCCGTGTACCATGCCATCATGACCGCCGTGCTGCGCTCCGAGGTGAGACGCATGCGAGGTGCCAGCCGAGTGGCTGGCATTTCTTCCCCCAAGAGGCTGCTCACGCCTGCTGTGTACCATGTGCTCTTTGACTGCTGTGCTGCGATGAGAGGTGAGGATGCGTGGTGTGGCGACTGACTGGTGAGGCGAGCTGAGGGATGTGACGAGGCGCAAGGGAAGAATGGAACGAGAGCAAGGGAAGAATGGAACGAGAGCAAGGGAAGAATGGAACGAGAGCAAGGGAAGATGGAACGAGAGCAAGGGAAGAATGGAACGAGAGCAGGGAAGAATGGAACGAGAGCAAGGGAAGAATGGAACGAGAGCAAGGGAAGAATGGAACGAGAGCAAGGGAAGAATGGAACGAGAGCAAGGGAAGAATGGAACGAGAGCAAGGGAAGAATGGAACGAGAGCAAGGGAAGAATGGAACGAGAGCAAGGGAAGAATGGAACGAGAGCAAGGGAAGAATGGAACGAGAGCAAGGGAAGAATGGAACGAGAGCAAGGGAAGAATGGAACGAGAGCAAGGGAAGAATGGAACGAGAGCAAGGGAAGATGGAACGAGAGCAAGGGAAGAATGGAACGAGAGCAAGGGAAGAATGGAACGAGAGCAAGGGAAGAATGGAACGAGAGCAAGGGAAGAATGGAACGAGAGCAAGGAAAGAATGGAACGAGAGCAAGGGAAGAATGGAACGAGAGCAAGGGAAGAATGGAACGAGAGCAAGGGAAGAATGGAACGAGAGCAAGGGAAGAATGGAACGAGAGCAAGGGAAGAATGGAACGAGAGCAAGGGAAGAATGGAACGAGAGCAAGGGAAGAATGGAACGAGAGCAAGGGAAGAATGGAACGAGAGCAAGGGAAGAATGGAACGAGAGCAAGGGAAGAATGGAACGAGAGCAAGGGAAGAATGGAACGAGAGCAAGGGAAGAATGGAACGAGAGCAAGGGAAGAATGGAACGAGAGCAAGGGAAGAATGGAACGAGAGCAAGGGAAGAATGGAACGAGAGCAAGGGAAGAATGGAACGAGAGCAAGGGAAGAATGGAACGAGAGCAAGGGAAGAATGGAACGAGAGCAAGGGAAGAATGGAACGAGAGCAAGGGAAGAATGGAACGAGAGCAAGGGAAGAATGGAACGAGAGCAAGGGAAGAATGGAACGAGAGCAAGGGAAGAATGGAACGAGAGCAAGGGAAGAATGGAACGAGAGCAAGGGAAGAATGGAACGAGAGCAAGGGAAGAATGGAACGAGAGCAAGGGAAGAATGGAACGAGAGCAAGGGAAGAATGGAACGAGAGCAAGGGAAGAATGGAACGAGAGCAAGGGAAGAATGGAACGAGAGCAAGGGAAGAATGGAACGAGAGCAAGGGAAGAATGGAACGAGAGCAAGGGAAGAATGGAACGAGAGCAAGGGAAGAATGGAACGAGAGCAAGGGAAGAATGGAACGAGAGCAAGGGAAGAATGGAACGAGAGCAAGGGAAGAATGGAACGAGAGCAAGGGAAGAATGGAACGAGAGCAAGGGAAGAATGGAACGAGAGCAAGGGAAGAATGGAACGAGAGCAAGGGAAGAATGGAACGAGAGCAAGGGAAGAATGGAACGAGAGCAAGGGAAGAATGGAACGAGAGCAAGGGAAGAATGGAACGAGAGCAAGGGAAGAATGGAACGAGAGCAAGGGAAGAATGGAACGAGAGCAAGGGAAGAATGGAACGAGAGCAAGGGAAGAATGGAACGAGAGCAAGGGAAGAATGGAACGAGAGCAAGGGAAGAATGGAACGAGAGCAAGGGAAGAATGGAACGAGAGCAAGGGAAGAATGGAACGAGAGCAAGGGAAGAATGGAACGAGAGCAAGGGAAGAATGGAACGAGAGCAAGGGAAGAATGGAACGAGAGCAAGGGAAGAATGGAACGAGAGCAAGGGAAGAATGGAACGAGAGCAAGGGAAGAATGGAACGAGAGCAAGGGAAGAATGGAACGAGAGCAAGGGAAGAATGGAACGAGAGCAAGGGAAGAATGGAACGAGAGCAAGGGAAGAATGGAACGAGAGCAAGGGAAGAATGGAACGAGAGCAAGGGAAGAATGGAACGAGAGCAAGGGAAGAATGGAACGAGAGCAAGGGAAGAATGGAACGAGAGCAAGGGAAGAATGGAACGAGAGCAAGGGAAGAATGGAACGAGAGCAAGGGAAGAATGGAACGAGAGCAAGGGAAGAATGGAACGAGAGCAAGGGAAGAATGGAACGAGAGCAAGGGAAGAATGGAACGAGAGCAAGGGAAGAATGGAACGAGAGCAAGGGAAGAATGGAACGAGAGCAAGGGAAGAATGGAACGAGAGCAAGGGAAGAATGGAACGAGAGCAAGGGAAGAATGGAACGAGAGCAAGGGAAGAATGGAACGAGAGCAAGGGAAGAATGGAACGAGAGCAAGGGAAGAATGGAACGAGAGCAAGGGAAGAATGGAACGAGAGCAAGGGAAGAATGGAACGAGAGCAAGGGAAGAATGGAACGAGAGCAAGGGAAGAATGGAACGAGAGCAAGGGAAGAATGGAACGAGAGCAAGGGAAGAATGGAACGAGAGCAAGGGAAGAATGGAACGAGAGCAAGGGAAGAATGGAACGAGAGCAAGGGAAGAATGGAACGAGAGCAAGGGAAGAATGGAACGAGAGCAAGGGAAGAATGGAACGAGAGCAAGGGAAGAATGGAACGAGAGCAAGGGAAGAATGGAACGAGAGCAAGGGAAGAATGGAACGAGAGCAAGGGAAGAATGGAACGAGAGCAAGGGAAGAATGGAACGAGAGCAAGGGAAGAATGGAACGAGAGCAAGGGAAGAATGGAACGAGAGCAAGGGAAGAATGGAACGAGAGCAAGGGAAGAATGGAACGAGAGCAAGGGAAGAATGGAACGAGAGCAAGGGAAGAATGGAACGAGAGCAAGGGAAGAATGGAACGAGAGCAAGGGAAGAATGGAACGAGAGCAAGGGAAGAATGGAACGAGAGCAAGGGAAGAATGGAACGAGAGCAAGGGAAGAATGGAACGAGAGCAAGGGAAGAATGGAACGAGAGCAAGGGAAGAATGGAACGAGAGCAAGGGAAGAATGGAACGAGAGCAAGGGAAGAATGGAACGAGAGCAAGGGAAGAATGGAACGAGAGCAAGGGAAGAATGGAACGAGAGCAAGGGAAGAATGGAACGAGAGCAAGGGAAGAATGGAACGAGAGCAAGGGAAGAATGGAACGAGAGCAAGGGAAGAATGGAACGAGAGCAAGGGAAGAATGGAACGAGAGCAAGGGAAGAATGGAACGAGAGCAAGGGAAGAATGGAACGAGAGCAAGGGAAGAATGGAACGAGAGCAAGGGAAGAATGGAACGAGAGCAAGGGAAGAATGGAACGAGAGCAAGGGAAGAATGGAACGAGAGCAAGGGAAGAATGGAACGAGAGCAAGGGAAGAATGGAACGAGAGCAAGGGAAGAATGGAACGAGAGCAAGGGAAGAATGGAACGAGAGCAAGGGAAGAATGGAACGAGAGCAAGGGAAGAATGGAACGAGAGCAAGGGAAGAATGGAACGAGAGCAAGGGAAGAATGGAACGAGAGCAAGTGTTTGTCCTCAACGTTTGCTATCATTCTTTCTCTCCCCCCCATTGGTTCTCCCCCCTCTTGTGTTCCGCCCTCCATCCTCCCGTGCATTTCCCACTCATCGCATGCATTCGCCCCTGCCCGCTTCCCTGCAGTCATCCACATCAGCGCAAGCAGCTGCCAGCACCACCACCGCCAGTGCGGGCGAGGCTGCCACAGCAGCAGCAGGGCGGAGGGTGCTCCCACCCGACACGGTCTTGGCGGAGTCGCAGCTGCAGCTGCTGCTGGCGCTGCTCAGAGCGCTGCCCTCTGCCTCTCCTCGCACGCAACTCGCCATTCTGCAGGCAAGCCTTTTCCCCCTTGCCCTCCCATGCTCTCTCCACGCACTCCACATGCTCTTTCTATTCTTTACTCCAATCACATCTGCTCCCTCTGCCTGCCCATACTGCTCCCCACATCAGATGTTGCTGCTGTGCCTCTGCTTGTGAATCGCCTCAATAGGTCCTCCCCTCCAACCATGCTCACCGCACCCCACCCACCCACAGGACGTACTGCTGCTGGTGTCGCTGAGTGGCAGCAACCGCCGCCAGCTGTCATGCCTGCCAGAGTGGCCCGAGTGGCTTCTCGAGATCCTGCTGGACAACCTCGAGGTGAGATCCTGCTAGACAACCTCGAGGTGAGATCCTGCTGGACAACCTCGAGGTGAGTGGGTCACGTCCACGTGAGCTCACATGTACAGTTGAGCTGCACATGCGGATATGCCACTCCTGCACAGCTGCACCATCCGTCCCTTGCACTCCCTTCTTGCCCGTCTCCCATCTTCCCTTTTCCCTCATCTACTTGTCTCCCATCTTCCCTTTTCCCTCATCTACTTGTCTCCCATCTTCCCTTTTCCCTCATCTACTTGTCTCCCATCTTCCCTTTTCCCTCATCTACTTGTCTCCCATCTTCCCTTTTCCCTCATCTACTTGTCTCCCATCTTCCCTTTTCCCTCATCTACTTGTCTCCCATCTTCCCTTTTCCCTCATCTACTTGTCTCCCATCTTCCCTTTTCCCTCATCTACTTGTCTCCCATCTTCCCTTTTCCCTCATCTACTTGTCCTTCTCACCGCTCCTTCTCACCTCCGCTTGTCTTCTGCGCTGCAGCGACTGCCTGCTGGCGCCTGCTCCATCAGCAGCACTGAAGCTGCCTCTGCTGCGCACGGGAAGCAGCACGCGGCAGGGCAAGGCAATGAGACACCCACGGCCGCTGCAAGTGGCACGGCAGGGGGAGGGGAGGGCGGGGAGGGGCGTGTGGAGGAGGCAGGTGCAGGTGGTGATGGTGATGGCAGTGGCGGGGCGGTTGACGATAGTGGTGGTAGCAGAGGAGGGGGGTTGAGAGAGGAGCAGCGGGAGCGCGTGGATGTGAACGAGATGATCTTCTCCTTCCTGGGCACCGTGCTCCAACACTGCATGACGTTCAAGCATGGCTGGAAGGTGACCCGCCTGTGCACTGCAGTCTGTGAACACAAGAAACTGCTGCCCAGCTGCTGCCTCCCCTGCCACCTGCACGTCACTCTCCATGCCATTGTGCTCGCCCTTACCTTCTCACTCTCTCCGTCACGCTCCCCCTCGTCCTCATCGCCACAGACCCATATTCTAACCTCTCTCTCCGCATTCCCGTTTTTCCATCATGCCATCATGCCATCATGCCACCATGCCATCATGCCATCATGCCACCATGCCATCATGCCATCATGCCATCATGCCACCATGCCATCATGCCATCATGCCACCATGCCATCATGCCACCATGCCACCATGCCATCATGCCATCATGCCACCATGCCACCATGCCATCATGCCACCATGCCATCATGCCATCATGCCACCATGCCACCATGCCATCATGCCATCATGCCATCATGCCACCATGCCACCATGCCACCATGCCATCATGCCATCATGCCATCATGCCACCATGCCATCATGCCACCATGCCATCATGCCACCATGCCATCATGCCACCATGCCACCATGCCATCATGCCATCATGCCACCATGCCATCATGCCACCATGCCACCATGCCACCATGCCATCATGCCACCATGCCATCATGCCATCATGCCACCATGCCACCATGCCATCATGCCATCATGCCACCATGCCACCATGCCATCATGCCACCATGCCATCATGCCATCATGCCACCATGCCACCATGCCATCATGCCATCATGCCACCATGCCATCATGCCACCATGCCACCATGCCATCATGCCACCATGCCACCATGCCATCATGCCACCATGCCATCATGCCATCATGCCACCATGCCACCATGCCATCATGCCATCATGCCACCATGCCATCATGCCACCATGCCACCATGCCATCATGCCATCATGCCACCATGCCATCATGCCACCATGCCATCATGCCACCATGCCACCATGCCATCATGCCATCATGCCACCATGCCACCATGCCATCATGCCATCATGCCACCATGCCACCATGCCATCATGCCATCATGCCACCATGCCACCATGCCATCATGCCATCATGCCACCATGCCATCATGCCACCATGCCACCATGCCATCATGCCATCATGCCATCATGCCACCATGCCATCATGCCACCATGCCATCATGCCATCATGCCACCATGCCACCATGCCATCATGCCACCATGCCATCATGCCATCATGCCACCATGCCACCATGCCATCATGCCATCATGCCATCATGCCACCATGCCACCATGCCATCATGCCATCATGCCACCATGCCACCATGCCATCATGCCATCATGCCACCATGCCATCATGCCATCATGGCACCATGCCACCATGCCATCATGCCATCATGCCATCATGCCACCATGCCATCATGCCACCATGCCATCATGCCATCATGCCACCATGCCACCATGCCATCATGGCACCATGCCATCATGCCATCATGCCACCATGCCACCATGCCATCATGCCATCATGCCATCATGCCACCATGCCACCATGCCATCATGCCATCATGCCACCATGCCACCATGCCATCATGCCATCATGCCACCATGCCATCATGCCACCATGCCATCATGCCACCATGCCATCATGCCATCATGCCACCATGCCACCATGCCATCATGCCATCATGCCACCATGCCATCATGCCACCATGCCATCATGCCATCATGGCATGTGCAGGAGCTAGAGGCCTCATTCCATTGCCTTGAGTGGATGGCTCTCATTGGTGGATCCAGCATCGGCCCCGAGCGAGTCAAGTGAGTCAAATCAGCGAGTCAAGTGAGTCAACCAGCAAGTCAATCCATTGGTCTTCACTTACTCAACTCCGTAGCCGTGCTCATCAAGTGAGCAACTCACGGGACCGAGGGAGTTGAAGGAAGCTATCATTTAAGCAACTCTCGCCACCCAGTGGGTGCTTCACCTGCTCAACTGCACTGCTTCACTTTTTTGACAGGCGCGAGGCCATTGCCAAGGCGCCTCAACATATAACGCTTCCCATATCAATTTCCCCCCACTCTGCCGGCGGGTGCATGTGTGTGTGTGTGTGTGTGTGTGTGTGTGTGTGTGTGTCTGTGCGTGGTCACCTCAGGCGAGAGGAGGGCATGGCAACGGTGAAGCGGCGCCTGCTGCATGGCGTCATGGACTTCACTGCCGCCCACCTGCGCCTGCAGGTCATATCTCACTCTATTCTTCCCCATCTCTTCTTCCTTTCCCACCACTGTAATCCCTCGTTCTCTTCTCCCTCTCACCTAGCCCCTGCCCCATCGCCCACCCCTTATCCTGCCCACCCACACCACCACCGCCAAGCAGGCTCAAGTGGAGGCCACAGCAGCAGCGGCAGCAGCGGCAGCAGCAGAGGCAGCAGCGCTGGCATCGCCTCTCCCCATAGACATCCCCATCTCGCCCACGCCCACCTCCCCACACGCGCGCGCTCCCGACCCGCTGCTCACGTCGCCCACGTCGGCATGGCTGCTGGAGAACGCGGTGGCGCTGCTGATGCTGCTCGAGGACTTCCTGCGCTTCCACGCCGCCGCCCGCTCGCCACTCGCCCTGCCCACCGTTGCCTTCGATGCCGATGACACCCTCCCCGGCTCCCGCCCTGCCGCCTGGCACGACGCCCCTGACTCCCCCACTGGAGCCTCCGCTGCTGCGGGAGTGGGGTCTGTGCTGCCAGGCACGACGGCCACAGCAGCGGCGGCGGCAGCAGCAGGGTTGATGCCGCTGGCGGCGCAGCTGTCCAATCCGTTGCTCTCCGCAGGCTCCTCCTCGCGGCGCCGCAGCCCCACTGATCTGCTCACTCTCGAGATGCTCACGCTCATGGCGGATAATGCGGGCCAGCTCACTGCCCCCATGCTGGACCGCATAACTGCCTCCACCAGTGCAGAGCCCTTTGAGGGCGTGCGCTGCGCCCTGCCGACTTACGGGTCTATTTCCCAGGAGTTACCCCTCAGTTGGGGGCACAGGAGCAAGCTGTGGTATGGCGTGGCGGTGCCGCCCGAGGGGAAGGGGGGACCGGGGTGGGGCGGCGGGCGGGCGGCGTGGGCGGCAGCAGTGGAGATTGACCCGGTGACGGGGCGGTGGCAGGACCTGCCTCTTGTGGTGAAGGCTGTGGGCATGCTGCGATCCATGCTGCTGGACGAAGGGGAGGTGGGGCAGGGGGGCGAGAAGCAGGGGGGAAAGGGAGGTGCAGGGGCGGCGGAAGGGGTGTTGGCGGTGGTGGGGGGGATAGCGAACATGCTGGGAGGGGGGAGTGCGGGGGGCGTGTTGAACCGCGCGAGTCAGTTGCTTCTGGAGGACGACCAGACGCTGCTGACTGTCATCCGCCTCGTGGCCGTGGCTGCCAGGGAGCTCAGTGACGTGGTGGACGTGGACCAGGGGGGGGACGGGGCAGCACCACATGCAAAGGAGGGGCGAGTAGATGGGGCGGGCGGGGGAGGGATGGCGTGGGAGCGAGGTGAGATGGAGGGCATCTCTCCTGGCGTTCTCAGCTCGCTGCTCTGGCGGTACGTGCACGGCAGCCATGACATGCGCATGCTCATCTCTTGATCGTTGCTATGTGCCGTGCACTCCCACCTCACCATGTTGCTATGTGCCGTGCACTCCCACCTCACCATGTTGCTATGTGCCGTGCACTCCCACCTCACCATGTTGCTATGTGCCGTGCACTCCCACCTCACCATGTTGCTATGTGCCGTGCACTCCCACCTCACCATGTTGCTATGTGCCGTGCACTCCCACCGCACCATGTTGCTATGTGCCGTGCACTCCCACCTCACCATGTTGCTATGTGCCGTGCACTCCCACCGCACCATGTTGCTATGTGCCGTGCACTCCCACCTCACCATGTTGCTATGTGCCGTGCACTCCCACCTCACCATGTTGCTATGTGCCGTGCACTCCCACCTCACCATGTTGCTATGTGCCGTGCACTCCCACCTCACCATGTTGCTATGTGCCGTGCACTCCCACCTCACCATGTTGCTATGTGCCGTGCACTCCCACCTCACCTCACCATGCTGTCTCCCGTCCCTCCCTCCCACCAATCTGCACTCTCACACTTCCCTCCTCTGCTCGTCTCGCCCCCCTGCCTCCGTCCTGCAGTGCTGTGCTGCCACTGCTCACAACAGCGTCACTTGATGCTCGCAAGCAGTGCGCCCTCGCAGCATCTGCCGTCCTGCACACAGAGGTCAGTCGCACACACAGGTCAGTCGCACACAGAGGTCAGTCGCACACACAGGTCAGTCGCACACAGAGGTCAGTCGCACACAGAGGTCAGTCGCACACAGAGGTCAGTCGCACACAGAGGTCAGTCGCACACAGAGGTCAGTCGCACACAGAGGTCACTCGCACGTTCTGAACCCGTCCCTCATCTCGTGCTGCTTGCCCTCCTCGCACCCCACTTGTGTCTACTGTTGCCCTCCTCGCACCCCACTTGTCTCTACTCTTGCTACAACCATCCCACTGCCTCCGCATCCCAACCCACCTGCAAACCCCCACACCCCCCTTCTTCTCTCTCCTCTCCCCCACTCGCCTCTACCTGCTGCGCGCCCATCAGGCCATCCACGCCATAGCACCATCGCGCGCCATCCTGCGCCCGGCCCTCATCACAGTGGTGCAGCCGCCCCTGGCAGCGCTGCTGCGCAAGTGGCGCTCGGCCTTTGCCTTCATCCCGCACCTCACAGACTTCGAGGGTCACAACCCCTTGTTGAGGGATGATGACCGCGCGCTTGCCACCGATGCTGCACCCCATGAGGTGGGTCGTCCTTCTCACCTTCTCAGGGTTCTGGTCAATTATAAAGGTTTAGGGTTCTTGTAACCGACGCCGCAGCAGACGAGGTGAGTGCCTCGCGCCTTCCCAGGGTCGCGCACTGCCAGCTGAGCACTGCCAGCTGAGCACTGCCAGCTGAGCACTGCCAGCTGAGCACTGCCAGCTGAGCACTGCCAGCTGAGCACTGCCAGCTGAGCACTGCCAGCTGAGCACTGCCGGCTGAGCACTGCCAGCTGAGCACTGCAAAAAAAAAAAAAAAAAAAAAAAAAAAAAAAAAAAAAACCTGCTTTCCTAACATTTGCATTTCCCCCTTTCCATCCAAATCCCAACGCAATTCTGTCCCTTGCACCTCCTCACCCCCCCAGGCATCACTGGCGCTGCTGCAAGTGATCTGGGTGGCAGCCTTGGCGTCCCCCCCTGCCTCCACGGCCCTGGCAGCCATGGCTGCTGCTGCTGGCCCCGGCTCTGTTCCCCCCCGCACCACCCTCACCTCCTCCTCCTCCGCCTCCTCCCTCTCCGCCCTCTCCTCTGCTCCTGTCACGCGCACGTCTACCTACCCTAGCGCCACCCCACCCACAGGCAGCACCATCCTTGCTGCCTCTGCCAGTCACGCACCTGGGACTGCCAGTAGCACTTCTGCTTCTGTCACCCGCACTAGCAGTCATCACGTGCCGCCCGGCCAGCCTGGCGCCAGCTCAGCAGTCAGCCGGCGCATGTCTCAACGCAGCGGCATGACTAAAACGGGGGGAGGGAGGCAGGAGGGGGAGCGGGAGGGGGCAACATCGTCCCAGCGGCGCATGAACGGCGACAAAGACCGTGCGCAGAGGTGGAGCCTGGGGGAGGCCGTGGAGAAGGCGTGGGACTGCAGTCGGGGCATCCCTGTCTCTGCTGCCACTCGCACCAGTGCCGGTGCTGCTGCTGCTGCTGGTGTTGGAGGGGTGGAAGGGAGGGAGGGAGGGGCAGCAGCGGCGGGGGCAGAGGAAGGGGGGAATGGCACGGCGCTGGGTCCCACGCTGGGCGGGCTGCAGCAGCACCTCGATGGCATGCGCGGCCTCATTCGCGCTCAGGTGCTCGTCCCTACCCTCAGGTGCTCATCCCTACCCTCAGGTGCTCGTCCCTACCCTCAGGTGCTCATCCCTACCCTCAGGTGCTCGTCCCTACCCTCAGGTGCTCGTCCCTACTCTCAGGTGCTCGTCCCTACCCTCAGGTGCTCGTCCCTACCCTCAGGTGCGAGTCCCTACCCTCAGGTGCTCGTCCCTACTCTCAGGTGCGAGTCCCTACCCTCAGGTGCGAGTCCCTACCCTCAGGTGCGAGTCCCTACCCTCAGGTGCGAGTCCCTATCCTCATACAAGTGATGCAGTAAACACTTCCTCACCCTCATCACAAAATTTATGTATGCACAAGGACAAGGGGAGAGGGAAGGCTCAGGTGGAGAGATGATGAATGCGGGTGCTGTATTCGCCGTTTCCTCCGTGCACCTCTTCCCTTCACCTCTCCCTTGTGCACTGGTTAGGTCACACAGGGTGACATGGGAGCCGCAACGACACACAGGAGCGCGTGCACTGCACACACGCCTTGGTCTCTTTCCTTGTGCCATCTCCCCCCTCCCATGCGTGCAGAGGCTGCGGAGGGTGAAGATCGAGACGCAGATGGCGCGCGCGCACACAGCTGGCATGCGCATGTGGCGCTCCCTCATTCGCCAGCTCCTCGAGTCAGGGCTGCTCGTGGGCCTCCCTGGCAGTTACCACGAGTTGAAGCAGCGCCGGGTGAGACAGGGGCGAGGGGTGGGGCAGTGTCAAGCACGTACCACAGTGGCATGGCATGGACGCCAAGTTCCTGAAAAAGAAACCCACGTCGTTGAAGAAACTAGATGCTTTTGGAAGCCTCCAGCCTCCAGGGGCATCAGCACGTGCTGCCGCCTGCTATGAACCGCCTCCTCTTCCCATCCAAACCCAGTGCCTGCATCCCTCTAACCATGTGCCCCGCCCCTTTCGCCTCTCTCCTCCCTCTCTCTCCCTCTCCACCAAACCCCAACACATGACTGTGGTGTGGAACATGCGTGGCCCCCATCCCATGCGCGCAGGTGTTTTGGAAGCTGGACCGCGTGGAGAGCAGCGCGCGCATGAGGCGCCGCATGGTGCGCAACTACCGCGGCTCCGACTGCCACGGCCTCGCTGCTGACTTCCGCCCCCCCACTCACGACCCCCCGCCCGCTGACAAGCGCGCACGCTCCCAGGGGGACGCGGATGGGGTGGAGAGGGGGGGGGTGGCAGGGGCGGTGGGCCTGCAGGAGGGGGGGGATGTGGGGAAGACACGAGAGGATGGGGAGGGAGAGGGGGCTGCAGTGGGAGGAGGGGCGGGTAGTGAGGGTGTGGGTGTGGATGAGGAGGGGAAGGATGAGGCGAAGGAAGGGGTGGCGGAGGGGAGTGGCGCAGGGGATGTGGAGGGGGTGGGAGGGGCCATAGTGGAAGACGCATCGGGGCTGCTGGGCGGCTGCCTGCCGGCCCCTGTGAAAGACTTCGATGCTCCCGTGCTGATGAGCGCGGATGAGGAGGGACCGGAAGGGGAGGTCGAGACGGACAGACGGGAGGGGGAGGGTGGAGAAGGTGAGGAGACGGAGGGGGCACGAGGTGCAGCAGAGGGGGATGGTGAAGGCCGGACAGTAGCAGAGGGAGGTGAAGTGGGGGGTGCTGCTGTGGAGCATGCGGTGCTGGAAGGTGGTGTGAAGCACACGCCAGGTGCCGATGATACTCTGGGGGCGAACGATGCTGAGCCACGACAAACGGAATCTGCTGCTGAGTCAGACGCAAAGGGTGGTGACTCATCAGAAGCAAGAGTGTCGGCAGTGGAGGAGGGGGCGAGTGCAGCAGGGGAGGAGGGTGGAGATGGAGGAGGCAGCAAGCAGGCAGAGCGAGGCGAGGTGGCTTCTCAACCAACAAGCCACGCAGCTTCAGCCTCCTCGCCTGAGCCTCCCTCCTCCACCACCACCACCACCGCCACCGCCAGCAGCACCGCCACCACCACCGCCACCACCACCGCCAGCAGCACTAGTGCCAGCAGCACTAGTGCCAACAGTGGCACTGCTGGTCCCTCCACTGCTGCTGCTCCTGCTTCTACTGCCACCACCACCACTACCTCCTCTACTGCCACAGCACCCCAGGAAGCCCTGGCAGCGTCGGCAGTGGCAGCAGTGGCGTTGGCAGCAGGCGAGCAGCCGGGGCTGTCAGCAGTGGTGGGCAGCAGCGAGGTGGCGGCAGAGGTGGCGGTGGGGGAGAGGGAGCGAGTGGTGGTGGAGGTGCCGGCCATGATGGTGCTGCCCCTTCAAGTCCTCAACGGCCGCCTCCTCGTCACTGCCTCTCGCTTGCTCTTCCTGGTTGACCCCTCCGTGCATTTCAAGGAGAGCGCGCCGGGCGACCAGGGGACGGACGGGGGTGGAGGGGGAAGGGCGGAGGGCGAGGAGGGTGGGTGGGGGAAGAAGGCGCGGGATAGAGTGTGGCGGCTGACATCCGTGAGGGAGGTGCTCAGCAGGCGGTGAGTGAATGCTCAGCAGGCGGTGAGTGAATGCTCAGCAGGCGGTGAGTGAATGTTCAGCAGGCGGTGAGTGAATGCTCAGCAGGCGGTGAGTGAATGCTCAGCAGGCGGTGAGTGAATGCTCAGCAGGCGGTGAGTGAATGCTCAGCAGGCGGTGAGTGAATGCCGGGACTTGAGTTGAGCATCCCACTGCTCCCACTGTTTTGTACTAATGTGTGTGTGCGTGTGTCCGTGTGCGTGTGTGCGTGTGTGCGAGCGTGTGCGTGTGCGTGTGCGTGCGTGCGTGCGTGCGTGCGTGCGTGCGTGCGTGCGTGCGTGCGTGTTTCTCTGCTTCTGCTTTCCGTGTTTTCCATTCGACTCATTTTTCAGTAACTTTCTGTTCAGGAAGTCGTCTCATGTTTGCTGGCCATGCCTTGCTGCGTCCGCCCTCTGCCTTCCCTGGTCCCCTCCCCCCGGCATCAGCTACCTGCTGCGGCGCTCGGCCCTGGAGGTGTTCATGATCGACCGCTCCAACTTCTTCTTCAACTTTGAGGTGTGCGCAAGGGGAAGGGGGAGGAGGTGGGGCACACACGGACATGGGTTCGGCAAGGATGTTCACACGAGCTGGGGGTTGAGAAGAGGAGAGAGCACATCTCCCTCCCACAAATCCTCTTCCATATGCCGGACCAATCCTCATGCTTACGCATGGGTGAAAAGACCTCTCGCCTCATGCGTGTGCCTGCCTCTGCCTCTTGTGCCCCCCACCGCCCTTGACATGACAGGGCCCGGAGGAGCGGCTACGAGTGCACCGAGCCATCGAGCATGCCAACCCACCGCACCTGCAGCATCACTTCTCCCCCACTCTGGTGCGCCCTCCTCTCCTCACGCCCACGACCCCCTGCACCTGTGCACGCCCTTTGTACGTCGTAACCTCGCCACACATTGTACCCTTACCACTCTTACTGCCCCACATGACATGCTATGGACATGCTCTTGCCTGCGTGTATGGACATGCTCTTGCCTGCGTGTACGGACATGCTCTCGGCAGCAAGAGTGACCGCTTTGTTGCCATGTCTGCGTGCCTTGGTACCCCCTGCGCGCCCTCACCAGCGCCCGGAGAAGATGCTTGAGAGGCTACAGCTCACTGAGAGATGGCTCCGCAGGGAGGTGAGGTGCCAGGGGAGACGAATGGTGGTTGTACGGACAGCAGAGCCAGGGGAGATGAATGGTGGTTGTACGGACAGCAGAGCCAGGGGAGAGGGATGGTGGTTGTACGGACAGCAGAGCCAGGGGAGATGAATGGTGGTTGTACGGACAGCAGAGCCAGGGGAGAGGGATGGTGGTTGTACGGACAGCAGAGCCAGGGGAGAGGGATGGTGGTTGTACGGACAGCAGAGCCAGGGGAGAGGGATGGTGGTTGTACGGACAGCAGAGCCAGGGGATTGCCCTGTGTTGCTGTTTGCCCCCTTGTCTCACAACCTTGCTTCCATCCGCTCATCGCTGCTCGTCATATCACCAGCGTTGACCATTTCATTCACCTCAACGCTCTTACCAGCTGATCCTTTATTCCCATTGTTTTCTTGTTGCCATGTCGTTCCCCTCCCCGCGTGTGCTCGGGTCGCGCCGTCCATCAGATCACCAACTTCGACTACCTCATGCAGCTCAACACCCTGGCGGGCCGCACCTTCAACGATGTCACCCAGGTAACGATGCCACCCAGGTAACGATGCCACCCAGGTAACGATGCCACCCAGGTAACGATGCCACCCAGGTAACGATGCCACCCAGGTAACGATGCCACCCAGGTAACGATGCCACCCAGGTAACGATGCCACCCAGGTAACGATGCCACCCAGGTAACGATGCCACCCAGGTAACGATGCCACCCAGGTAACGATGCCACCCAGGTAACGATGCCACCCAGGTAACGATGCCACCCAGGTAACGATGCCACCCAGGTAACGATGCCACCCAGGTAACGATGCCACCCAGGTAACGATGCCACCCAGGTAACGATGCCACCCAGGTAACGATGCCACCCAGGTAACGATGCCACCCAGGTAACGATGCCACCCAGGTAACGATGCCACCCAGGTAACGATGCCACCCAGGTAACGATGCCACCCAGGTAACGATGCCACCCAGGTAACGATGCCACCCAGGTAACGATGCCACCCAGGTAACGATGCCACCCAGGTAACGATGCCACCCAGGTAACGATGCCACCCAGGTAACGATGCCACCCAGGTAACGATGCCACCCAGGTAACGATGCCACCCAGGTAACGATGCCACCCAGGTAACGATGCCACCCAGGTAACGATGCCACCCAGGTAACGATGCCACCCAGGTAACGATGCCACCCAGGTAACGATGCCACCCAGGTAACGATGCCACCCAGGTAACGATGCCACCCAGGTAACGATGCCACCCAGGTAACGATGCCACCCAGGTAACGATGCCACCCAGGTAACGATGCCACCCAGGTAACGATGCCACCCAGGTAACTCCAATCCAACCCCGTCATTCACCTCAATGTGCCATTTCCATGGATTGCTTCACATTTCCAACCTTGCTGTGGTGACCAGCACATTCCAGTGCTTGCTTGCTTTCCTTCCCGTTAACTACATCTCCTCATATCATGCTCTTTCCTCCCGCCCTCTCCTCCCTTCCCTTCCTCCCCTTCCTCCCCTTCTCACCACACCCATCGTCTCTCGTCCTGCCAGTACCCCGTCTTCCCCTGGGTAATTCAGGACTATACCTCAAAGGAGCTCGACCTCACCAACCCAGCCACCTTCAGAGACCTCTCCAAGGTGCCTCGTCCTTTCTCCTCCAAATACCGTCTTCTTTACTTCACATACACATCTAAATGCCTTCAGTATTCATACTCTTCTAGCTCCACTCTCTTTCAAATCCCACCTCGTGTTCTTTCACCTTGCCTTTTCACCCAAGTTCCCACACATCCCCAACACACCTCTCCCCGCCCCCCTCCCTCGCGAGTGCAGCCGGTGGGGGCACTGGATGCGGGGCGGTTGGAGAAGTTTGTGGAGCGGTACCACAGCTTTGCGGACCCCATCATCCCCAAGTTCCACTACGGCTCGCACTACTCCAGCGCCGGCATTGTCAGTCGACCTCTTCCCTTCACACACAGTAACCTCTGCTCATGCGCGCTCACACCGCCATGCGGCACTTCAACTAGAATGACCCTTGCGCTCACCGTCGCTCTTGCCCACCCCCTTGTCCCTCCAGGTGGCGCACTATCTGCTGCCAGTGGAGCCCAAGGGGGGGCACTTCCACCACCCCGACCGCCTCGCCTCTTCCCCACCCCCTTCCCGCCCCACAACCCCCCGTTCCTCTTTCCCGCCCCACAACCCCCCGTTCGTCTTTCCCCTCCCGGCATTCAGGTGGCGCACTATCTGCTGCGAGTGGAGCCGTATACGTCTCTCGCGCTGGCCCTGCAGGGCGGGCAGTTTGACCACCCCGACCGCCTGTTCCTGGACGTGGCTGCCACGTGGCGGGGAGTCACCTCCGACATGAGCGATGTCAAGGAGCTGGTGAGGCATGTCAAGGAGCTGGTGAGGCATGTCAAGGAGCTGGTGAGGCATGTCAAGGAGCTGGTGAGGCATGTCAAGGAGCTGGTGAGAGCAGGGGGTGGGTAACACAGGGGCATGTACCACGGCTGCCTGTACCACGGCTGCCTGTACCACGGCTGCCTGTAGCACGGCTGCCTGTAGCAGGGCATCCTAGTCATCTTGCGTGTGTGTGTGTGTGGTGCTTGCGATCCTCTATCTGTTGTATCGTTGCGATGTGGGATGCCAGCAAGCATCACCTCATCCCAACTCCCACGGACTCCCTCCCCTCTGTGCGCCGTGGCGCGGTGAGGGCAGATCCCGGAGTGGTTCTGTGTACCGGAGATGTTCACCAACATCAACGGGCTGCACCTCGGCTCCACGCAGAAGGGCGAGATCATTGGTGAGCTCCCATCCCATCCACCCACCTGCTCACCTCTCATCTCCCTTCACACCTCCCTCTTCTTTTTTTTTCTCTTTTTTTTCGGTGGGGGTTGGTTTCTTCTGTTGTTTCCACACCACCTCCCTCTACCCTCCCCTCGCACCCCAACCTTCCGTCACCTCCCGTGTCCCCCTCCCCCACCCACCTCCTCCCCCCCCTGCCACCATTTTGCCGCACTGCACCCCACCAGGGGACGTGAAGCTGCCGCCATGGGCGAGCAGTGCGGCGGACTTCGTGCGCAAGCAGCGGGCGGCACTGGAGAGCGAGTATGTCAGCAGCAACCTGCACCATTGGATCGACCTCATCTTCGGGTAAGTGCACCGTTCGATCCACCTCTTGAAGTCTCCCCTGCCTTTCATGTTCAGCACATGTTGCTCGCCCCTCCACAAGCGGGTCATGCCTCTCATGCGGGTTACTCCTTTCTTCCCTGCTCACATCCTGTTGCCCTGTGGGTTGCCCCTCCTGCATGTGCTCACCCACGTGGCAGGTACAAGCAGAAGGGCAAGGAGGCCCTGGCGGCGCACAACGTGTTCTTCTACGTCACGTACGAGGGCGCTGTTGACATCGACTCCATCACCAACCCTGTCAGCCTCCTCTCCTCGCTAGCGCTCTCTCCCCCTCTGCCCACCCACCATCATCTTACGTCCAAGCCATCACGTCCCCACGAGCCATTGACCAACTGTCTTGCACTCGCCCACTCAGCACCTTGCCATGCAAGCATGCTACCACCTGGCAGCTTTTCCTTCTCCTCTGCCCTTGGCAAGCACGCTCTTGCTCAACCATGCACGATTCTTTTCCAGCCTCCCTCACCTCCCGTCATCTCCTTGCTCCCACCACCCTCCCTCCAGATCGTGAGGAGGGGCATGCAGGATCAGATTTCCTACTTCGGCCAGACGCCGTCACAGCTGCTGACGACAGCGCACCCACCGCGCATCGCACTGGACTACGCGCTGCACCTGCACACGGTGTTCCGCAAGCCCGATGAGATCCTGCCCTACGTGCTGCCACACCCCGACACCCTCAATGTCCCCGCCAGCCGCATCGTCGCCACCTCAGATGCCATCGTCACCGTTGATCTCAATGCTCCTGCTTGCCACGTGGCGGTGCACCAGTGGCAGCCCAACACCCCGGACGGCCACGGCTGGCCGTTTTTGTTCCAGCCCGGGCGGTCTTCGCTGACAGGTAGTGCCATTCTGCGGATGCTGACGGGGGCAGCGCTGGGCGGCAAGGGCAGCAACAGCGAGACATCCCTCTATCCGCGCCTCGTGGCCCTCCCTGCTCCGGGGATAAAGCACACGTCAACAGCAGCAGGCGCGGTGGGGGGGGGAGGGGAAGGAGGATCCGGTGGGGGAAAGGAAATCATAGCCATCTCCCCGGACGGCAAGTTTCTGTTCACAGGCGGGCACGCGGATTTCTCTGTGAAGCTGGTGTCAGTGGACTCGACTCGCGTGCTGGAGACGGCTGCTGTGCATGGCGGCCCCGTGACGTGCGTGGCTCTCTCCCCTGATGGCGCCACTCTCGCCACCGGCGCCACGGACGGGGTGGTGCTGCTGTGGCGAGTCAACCACGCCACCGCGCCCTTCCCTTCCTCCCCTGCCGCCGGGGTCACGGCTGGCCTCGTGGCTGCTGGGGCGGGGGCGGGGGGGCGTGTGGCAAGGCGCAGCACTGCAGCACCCACGGGCCCGCACGACCCTGCTCTGGCTGCTGCCGCTGCAGCGGTGTCGGCTAGCGAGGAACGAGCAGGCAGCATGGCAGTGGGAGGAGCGGATTACCCCGAGCGGGGAGGCGGGGGTGGCATGTCGGACGCGGCACTGCTGCTGAGCGCAGGGGGCATGGGCGGGGCGGGGGGGCTGGAGGCGCCGAGGAAGTGGCGGCGCATGGAAGGCCCCGTGCAGGTGCTGCGCGGGCACTTGGACACGATCCTGTGCTGCGCCGTGTCCTCGGACCTCGACCTCGTTGCCTCCTCCTCGCGCTCCCGCGGTGTGCTCCTCCATTCCCTCATGAAGGGCCGCTTCCTGCGCCACCTGCCGGGGGTGGGGCCGGCGGACCTGCTGGCCATCTCCCCTGAAGGGGTGGTGGTGGTGTGGGAGCGGCGGCAGCGTGCGCTGCGGGCGTTCACGATCAACGGAGCGGCGGTGGCGGGGGTGAGCATCTCGGAGGAGGATGGCGATGTGAGCAGCGTGCAGGTGTCGAGCAACGGGCTGTTTGTGGCTGTGGGCACGGACTGCAGCCGCTGGCGGCATGTGCGGGAGAAGGAACGGCAGAAGGAGAGGGAGCGCGCTGCTGTGATTGCCGGGGAGAAGGTGGGGCTGGGGAAGGCTGGGAGCTTCACAGAGGCTGAGGGGCGGCGGACGGATGGTGGCGGTGAGAAGGGCGAGGGAGGAGGGGCGTTGGAAGGGGAGAACGGGGGGACGGGCCGTGGGCAGCGGGATGAGGGGGAAAGAGGAGGGGAGGAAGGCGAGGGGGGGAATTCAGGCAAGGAGAGGAGGGAGGGAGAGGGCGAGAGGAGGGAGGGCAGGGAGGTTGAGGGAGAGGGTGGAGGGGCGGCAGCAGGGGGGGGTGGTGCACTGCCGGACTGGAGGAACACGGACGAAGGGGGGTCACGGAAGGAGCGCGGATCAGCGGTGTCACTTCTTGACCTCTTCTCCCTCAAGGTGCATCTGAGCTCCTCCTTAAGCTGCGGGTGCAGCCATGCCGCTTCATCCCATCCTTCTCCAGCTGCATTTCAATTCCTCTCGCCCATGCCCGCCTCTACTCTCTCCCATCCCCCTAACAAGCCCTCTTAAACATCTACTCTATACTGTATGCCCCATCCTCTTACAAGCATCTTTGCTTAACAATTGCCCCCATTCCCCAATCCCTCTCGTGCGTGTGCCATGCGCCATGCTGGCAGGCGCTGTGTCGCTTCAAGCTGCCGGAGGGCACAGACGTGACAGCGCTGGCACTGTCAGCGGACAACACCAACCTGCTCTGCTCCACCTCCGCTCACCTCGCCCCCGGCCAGCTCATCCTCTACAGCAACCCCCTGGTACGCCTGTAGCAGCTGCAGCAACCCCCTGGTACGCCTCTAGCAGCTGCAGCAACCCCCTGGTACGCCTCTAGCAGCTGCAGCAACCCCCTGGTACGCCTCTAGCAGCTGCAGCAACCCCCTGGTACGCCTCTAGCAGCTGCAGCAACCCCCTGGTACGCCTCTAGCAGCTGCAGCAACCCCCTGGTACGCCTCTAGCAGCTGCAGCAACCCCCTGGTACGCCTCTAGCAGCTGCAGCAACCCCCTGGTACGCCTCTAGCAGCTGCAGCAACCCCCTGGTACGCCTGTAGCAGCTACTCTGCAGTGGCCTCTTACACATCAACACTGACAACAGCTTCCTTGGTACCAGTACTAGCTCAACAGTTGTGGTTGTTCACCCCTTACTCCCGTTTCCACTACCCCCCCCCCCCATCTCCCCACCTCACTCCCATTCTCTTTCCCCCCAATTGCACCTTTTGCCTTGCCCACTCTCCCCCCTCGTCCCCGTGCAGCTGAGTGTGAAGATGGTGGATCAGATGCTGCGCCTGGGCTGGGAGGGCAGCGAGTTCGCCAGCATCTTCTGACCCTGCCTGCTGCTCTCATGCTGGCTTATCACAACAGTATCTGCCCCGTCATGCACATCACTTGAGACTATGCCATACACTCACTCACGTTTGCATTACTGTAGGAATAATGGGGTGTAGGTGCGTTTGTGAAGTTTCAGGGGGCTCATAAAACAGGATACCAGGGCTCTCCCTAGGTTTTAAACCTGCCTAGTGCATCAGACAAGCTCTGTGTTTCTACTTTTCAACATTTTTCAACCAATTCTAAGCATAATATGCGTTCTTGCTTGCTTGCTTGTTGGAAAGCTTGAAGAGTGCTTCACAGCTTGGTCCAGCTTTTCTTTTGTTTAATCATATGATGTTTGTTGGGGTGATTGATTGGTCATCATGGTTGTTTGGTGTGTTTGCTAGTTCTGTTATTATTTTCTCACATTTTTTCTCTTGTACTACTGCTTGTGTAAACGGGATACACTCCTCTTTCGATAATGAAGTTCTCCGAGCTCTCCGCCATCTAGCAGCCATGGATTTCTCCGAGCTCGACTCAGTCAACAACCTCGCTACAATGCTCAATGCAAACGTCTGTTTCCGTTTCACGTATCGCTTTTAACACTAACATTGGATTACCGGCCATTTATGCTGGCCTAGGTTACTCCGGTTATAAGGCGACAAGGCTCAGCGTTTGTAAGGGATTCCCAGGATCGCTTTTCAGTCATGATCCAAGTCCAGCGGCTTTTTTGACTACTTTCAAGCGCTACACTCCTATTTCAACGGTTATTAAGGACGATGGTTTCGATGTTGCAACCTCGGGAATACAACATCAACAGCAGGAAATATTGGAGTCTGACAAGCTCCTATTACTACTTAAAGCAATGCTCAGTCATCAGGCTCTCCACCTTTTCTCAGTCATCAAGCGTGCTCTACACATTGTTTCTTCGCCTGCTTCTCATCATCGTACAATGTCGCACCCTGCTGATGTCTCGGTTTTGCCTAAGGGTCAACGCTCTCGTCCTGCTAATGATCCGCTGGCTCCAAATGCTCTGTCCGCGGAAGTCCAGCAAACAGTGTTTAACAAGAGCACTACCATGGGTGACAATGCCGCCGACAAGGTTAATGACAATGCTCCAATAGCTTGAGGGTCGGGCCTCTCAGTGAGCGACAAGGCTGACAAGACGGCTGGACTCACCGATGCAGATGGCTTCATCGGCGATGACTCTGATGATGAAATGTTGATCGACGCCAAGGAAGCTGGCTTCAGGGTCCGCTCCGTTGCTATTCTGATCATTCCCTTTATGATCGAAAAGGAGATCGCATGTGTGATTGATGCAGTCAGTGCACTAATCAAACATGGGTGGTATATAAATTTATCAGTTGATACCGCGACGACAACAAAGTTGCAAGAGCTGCAGACCGCTTACGTTGCCAATCACGATATTGCCGCCTGCAAGGCTCTTTCGCCCTGGAGTCGGATGCATCTTGGGTGCGGAACAAGGAGGTGATTTATCAGCCGCTGAAGAACCAGGGACAGCTCATCACACTTCACTGGCAACATATGGAGGACCCTGCTTACGCTCGCGAGAAGGCTCTGAACCCGCATGCGATTGAAGTCATAATAAGAGGTGTATCTGCAGCTGTTGAACTGGAAATGATCCACGACCGCCTGGCGTCTTACCTGCTTAAGAGCACTGGGTTGTCGGTCTTCCTGAGGTGTACCTGCCTTCATCGGGTGCTTCATCTGGTTACGGGTGCTGATACGGATGGGGTGAAATGGCTGGTATACGCTCACCCGAAACCTGAATCATCGCTGGATCCACGCCGTCGCTGACCCTGCTGACTGTGCGAGGACGCTCTTGGTCCATTAGCCGGCTTTGTCTTGCATACTTTGCGGTGGCAAACATTTTGATAAGTATCAAAATGTTTTTAATCACTGAGCGTCAGAATAATGTTAGCGAATGGAATAACACTCTTGGAAAAATTCACAGGCTTAACGGTAAACGCAGCAGTTAGCTCTCTCGCTGTCTTCTATTTCTTTTTTCTCACCTCTGTTACTATCCTTACCCTCGCAGTTGCGTTGCTGAAAGCATCGCCGCTGTTTCTCTGGAACCGGTTATCGCTTTTATCTCTGCCAGCAGCAGCAGGGAGGATTGGATTTGCAATCAGACTGGTTGGGGAGTTTCATGGCTGTTGCAGACCACATCTCCACAACCACTCTTTTGCAGCAACTGACGAAGCCAGTTTCTGCCACGAAGGAGTCCCTGGACAAGTTGAACCTCAGCGCTGTTCGCAAGGAGTACAGGATGTGACAGATCTCGATCGTTACCTGCGTGCAGCTACCTGCTGGAGTCTCAGAGTTAGTTTCACATGTATAGTATCGTTTTACAGCCTCTGGATGACAAGGGGCTGCAAGGCATTGATCTAATGATTAATAAAAACCACCTCACCATCGCAAGCTTAAACGTCAACGGCTTAGGCAACAGAACCATCTGGAGCGTGTACTAAGTGGATGAGAAAAGGACCTGACATTGCAGTGTTAGTAGATACTAGAATAGCCAACAGTCACACTTACTGGACCGGACTTAGCACTTACACAGTTATAACAAACCCACCACAGGCCACCGCTGGTGGAGTAGCCGTCCTCTGTATTAACCAGGATATCACCTTCCACAATATAGAAATTCACACATCCGGCAGAATATTCAAAACAGTACTTAAGGGAGTCGGACTCGACCTCACATTGGTAGCCGCGTATCTACCAGAACCAGTGTTCATTAGAGACACCCATGGTCCAATCATTGATCAGATACCACCCTCCACTCACCTTCTCATCATCGGCGATCTGAACCTAACGGATGATCCCAAACTGGATAGATCCTCGGGCTCAAGCTCTTCGGCGGAAAATGAGAAACTTCTTCTGCGTTGCACCAACTTCCAGCTCTCTGATGCTTTCTGCACCCTGCATCCATGCAGCAGAGAGTACACGCTTTACGCCGCTGCAGCATCCGCATTCACCGCGCACTTGTATCTCAATCTTTGCTGGCTCACCTGACAATCGCCTCTCATGACATGCCAGAGGAACCTATCTCGAATCATGGTTTCGCGATTCAAGTCGCCTTCTGCCTGGACGAGAAGATCTGCATGGGGCTTGGGATCTGGAGGCTTCATGCCTTAATGGTACAGAGGCCAGGCATGCGGAAAATCATTGACGCGACAGTTACGAGAACCGCAGTCCACGATGGTTGCAGCTTCGAGCTCCTGATTGTACGCCTGGGAGAGGGTTTACTGGCTTATGCAAAGGGAGGAGAGCAAATGGGTCAAGAAAACCCTGGCTCATCTGGTTAGTGCAGTTGCGCTGCTGAAGCAGGAGATGATGGGAAATCCAAGCTGCAATGTTATATGTGGCGCTGGAGGCAAAGGACCTGCAGTTGAAGGCATACAAGGAAGCGCGTAAGGAACGATTACACCTACAAGCTGAGATGTCGGAGGAGCTGACTGGGGAAATTGCATCAAAGCATCTCTTGGCCAGGGTACGCGCGAGGAAAGCCCGCACACAAATCACGGAGCTGAAAGAATGCGGCAGGACGGTCACCAAGGTGCGACAGATCCTTTGTGTCGCGTCGGGTTTCTTCAAAAGTATTTTTGGGAAGGACCGCCATACGGACTTCACTAACTGGTATTCCAACCCGTGTTGGCGCCTGGGAAAGGAAGCAGAAGGAATGTTAATGGCGGACTGGACGGAGCATGAATTGAAAGCGGCCTTTGCAACTATGGCAAGAACTAAGTCACCTGAGGCTAACACCTAAATAATCGTGACAGAGAGTGTATCGAGAGATTGGGTGGGGCGCTTGTACATTTGTAAATAAACGGGATAAGCAATACCGGGGAACAGTAAAGGTAGCGGGAGGCAGGGCGGGCACATGGCAGAATGGAGGGCACCGAGAGTTACAATGACTGTCAGGGCAGCGGGCTGAGCTAGAGGGGAGTGTGCTGGGAGGATTGGCAGCGGATGACGTGGATGTGGGTATGGAATGGTATGATGTCTGGTGTGCATATGTTTGTCTCGTTTGTTTTGCTGACACCGAGTCCAGGAGGAAGCTGGAAGGCAGGAGTGCCAGCTGGAGGCAAGGGAGAACACAAGAAGCGTGGCTAGCTAGAGAGTCGTGTTACCAATGTACTCTGTATTAGGCTTGTCTAGCTAGGGTTATGCGGGAAGCATATGGGGGAAACCTGAGCCATGGGACTGCTACTGTGTGTTTGTTTTCATGAATTACTGCAACTTTCTTCAAGGCTAGTAGTTTGCAACGAAGCCATAACCACAGTCAGAATGAGTTAAGAAGGGGCTTAGCATACAAACACACAGTCTATGCACTTGCGGTCGGGGCGGGTGCTAGAGGCAGTAAGGGAGAGGAGCGCGCACAATCCGCAGATGGCAAATGAGGGAAATGCCAATCACGTGACGAATTAGTCGCAAGAGACGGGAAGGGTCGAGGGGCGAAACGGGCCCAGCAAGGGAGCGAGTGGACCGCAGGGCGGCGCTTGCGCGGAGGCAGAGGACGGCGGGGATAACGCATTCGGAGGATTTGAGGAACGCCAGCGAAGTGAGCAAGGGGGACCAAGCGGGTACCAGCGCAGCGCGTCTTGCCAGGGCACGGAGGATGAGTCGGTGGTGCAGCGTTGGGAGTACACCCAGCTGCCCAAGATTGAGGTGCCGGAGAGGTTTTCGGGGGACGTCAGGCGTGGCCCGATCTGAAGAATCATATCATGCAGCTAGAGAACCTGCAAACCCGATGGGCGAAGGATCGCTTGAATCCGGAAGAGTTCTTCCGTGGCCTGGCGAATACGTTGGCAGGAGAGGCGGAGAAGTATTACCGGATCTCGCGGAAGGAACTACTTGAATGGTCGGTAGGCCGGGCACCGGGCAAGCGGGACCCGACGTCGCGGTTCCTGGCGATGCTACGTCGCTGCAGACGGCCGAGAGGGTGGTGGAATTCCGGGGTTTCCGGCGCAGAGAAGGAGAATCCTTGCTA